CCCCCCCCCCCCCCCCAAAAAAAAATCATAATCAATTAAAGAAAAAGGAGCAACAGCTTTATTCAGACTATCAAAAAAATATCATGATTTTGTTTAGCACGAAAAAAATGTCACAAGAAAAAGAAGAATTAAATTTTGGAACATGAGGTAGTAGTTGAGTATTAGCCGGTGATGGATGAACCAAGCGTTTGTGTGAGAGTTCGAAGTCTTTTGTCTCATTTACCACCTTATGAAAATAAAAGAGTCCATTAATTTGTTCACCCATTCCAATCACCTTCTTCAAGGTATAGTCCTGTATAACATAAGATTTGTTAGTGAACTAGAAACTTAATTTCTGATTCTCAAGAACTTGTGATACTAAAACAAATTGCAATTGATTTTAGGCACAAACAACACATTAGACAATTGCAACGAATTGTTCAGGTAAACATCTCCCGTTTGAATTGCAACACCACTTTCTCTGTTGGGAAATCCAACATTACAGTTCATCATTGGTTTAAGATTTATTAAGCAAGTCATGTCACCTGTCATATGCTGACTTGCACCATTGTCAATGATCCGAGAAATTTTAGGCATACATGAAAATTGATTATCCAAGGTTATCCCTGTGCAAAGGTTGTCGAATCCCCTTCAGTTGTGCGATTTCTACCACCATGACTGGGAGGCAGGCCACCCTTGCCACTGCGTGTGCCTCCTCTACCATTTGTTGCACCTGCATCGCGGCCTCCTCCTCATCCTCTAGTTTGAACACGTGCCCCAGCCACTATAGGTATCCAATAAGTTAAAAGCCTCCGCTAATCTCATATCTTGTCTATCCACAGTGTTTACATATAAGATCGTTATCACATGTCAAGTGATTGGAGGATACCGCAAAACCAACCGGATTATGCTCTTCTTCATGTGTCATCTTAAACACACCCTCCTGTTGTATTATGACCGAATAAACACGATTAATGGGTGCCAATGGTTCTATGCTCAGTATATTTGAGCGTAGTCTACCATACCCTTCATTGTCTAAACCCATCAAAATTTGATGGGCTTTTTATTTGTCTCTCTGTTTTTCCGTGATTTTGGTGATACCACACTTGCACTTACATATAGGAATTTTCAATAATTCATATATTTCACCCCAAATTTTTTCAGCTTACCATAGTAAGTCACTATCGCTTGTCCGTTCTGCTTGAAATTAACGAGCTCTTTTTTCAGTTGTTGCACCCTAGGTCCTTTGCCACAGAGTAGCGTGCCTTTATATTGTTCCATAAGTCTTCCACCACTTTGACTTGGGTGATGGAGTTCCACGGATCTCCACCAAATGTGTTGTAGATCCATGAGACCACCATTGCATTCACGTTCCACCATTCATCTTGGCTCTCGTCCTTTTCGTCTGGACAAGGTATGGTTCCATCGATGAAACCAATTTTCCGTTTTGCACGAAGTGCAATTCTCATAGCTCTTGCACACTCTCCAAAGTCTGTGTCGTTCAACTTAATGTGAGTAATCAACAGCCCTGGTGTGTCCATAGATTTCAAATGATATAGACTTGGCTTCGTTGTTTTTCCGGCGTAGTCACCATCCTTTTTTTCTAGCAGTGTCTGACATACTCGTCGACTTGCCAATCTTCGTTCTTATCAATTTATCACTCCAATACCATGTAGAAAATAATAATGGAGAATAATTCTATATTGAGTTGTCTTGAAGAATACAAAGATCTAGCCCCCTTTATGTAGGAAAAGGATCAAACAAATAAGCAAACTTCTACTCCTACCATAATTCTATTCCTGACACAATAAGGAATACTACCAAAGAAGTAAACTCTAGCCATAATAATAATAATAATAATAATAATAATAATAATAATAATAATAATAATAAAATAATAATAATAATAATAATCCATTCAAAAATGCACATGAGAAAGATGTTTCATGATTGAATCAACGTCAATTATTTTATTATTTTTTCAAAATAAATTGTCATTTTAACAATAATTTGAGGCAAATAATACATTTACCCTCCATCCCTAAATGAATTACATTGTCACTATTTTAGCCTCCCGATAAATTTTTCTTATTTACATGTTTTCATTGATCATTTAATAAATTAAATTATTTTTGTCACCTTATATTTTGTAGAACTTTTGATGTAGTTTTTAGAAAATTTTCATACCATTGCTCCAAAATTTAGCTTATTATACAATACTATTCTGAGATTCATTTTTTCTTGTCAATACTCTAAGAAGTCACCAAATTTTACATTCTTACTCTAGTTTGACCGACTCATCTTCAAGCTTAATCACGTAAAATTATTTTGGGTAACATGGTATCTGAAGTAATTAATTGGAAACTTATCTAAAATAATGGAATAAAACTAAATTTTATTTGGACTTTTTTAAGTAACTTAAGAAAGTAATGGAGTTAAATAAGACGCCATTTTGACTTATTTAAGGAACTGAAGGAAGTTGTGTGTATATTTGAGAAGGAGACTTCTTTGTCTTCTTCCCCATCTCTGCCACTACATAAGGCTTCCCATTCTCCCTTAAATATGCACCATTCCTTCTGATTCTTCTTCCATTGTGTTCTTGAGAGTGTGGAGAGCAAGCTACCATAGTTCGTTGCTGCAAAATCGCCGAAGATAGTCGTGGTGTTCGTTGGAAGTTTCGCTATAAAATTTCCAAATCCTACGTTTGAGCTTGAAGTAAGCCCGTAGATATATCTAGTGGTTAGAATGTTCATATAGATCGATTTTACATTCATAAATGATCATTTGGTTGAGTTATGTACAATAAAAAAGAAAAATACATTTTTGATGAACCAAGAATCATAAACCTTCAAATTAATTGTTTAAACATGGTCTTTGGTGTTAGAGAACAATTTTATAAATTTAAAATGAAATTTAGAAGCTTAAAATGGTGTTTTGGAAGTTTGGAACGAGGTTGAAGACGATACTTTACAAAACTCCCGCAGAAACGATACATGGACACCGCCTAGACGGTACAGAGATACCGCCCACTGTAGGCCATACCATTAGTGACGGTAGCTAGCTGCCGTCACAAGCCAAAATTCTTTGGCAATACCTGACACCAGACGGTACCCTATACCGTCTAGACAGTACTAAGGTACCGTGATGGTACCCTCGTACTGTGACGGTACCCTGGTACCGAGACAGGCACCGTCTAACCTGGAGACTTTTTCCACAAACCTAATTTTTCAGTTGTAAAATCATATTATTTATACCATTCAACTATAAAGCAGTATGAATATCATTTCTAAATTAAATATGATGTTTCGATAATTTCAAGAACCTTATTTGAGACATGACGGTTAGCTAGGGTGTTAACATTCGATGCTAGGCTGCATTTTATTATTAAATATTGTGATGATTGTTATTGGTTATTGATTATGATCATTGAACTTTGATTAAAAAATAATATCATGAATTAAATGATGAATATGAACAATTAAGGCTATCTAGAAGAACTTTAAGATAGATCCTATGTGACCAATTTAGTTAGGTCTTGCAGATTTTATGTTTGATGGCTAGGATTAAAACGTACATACGAGATCTACAAACCAAACTTGAGTACCCACTCGTTTGGGGGTATCACCCAACCCGATGGTGAGTAGACCACTGTTTCGTTTTTAGCGTGACCTATAAAACTCATAGGATAGGTCATCGATTCTTGTGTTTTGCGTAAACTAAAATATGGTTTAAGATCCCAGTAATCAAAATAAATTAGCCTTAGACTAAGAATAGTTTTAAGAGGATTGTTATGATTTGGCCTTAGACTAAGAATAATTTAAGAGTATTGTTGATGTCATGAATATTGAATATTTAAATTGAATATTATGTGCATGATATCAAATGATTTGATTATGAATTGAGATTCCATTTATATAGATGTTCGATGCATTAGATATCTTTACTCAACTTAACTGTTGAGCGTGTAGTATATATTATTTGCTACGCGCAGGTAAACAGAATAAGGAATGATGGTGTGAATCTGGAGGCAGTTGGGAATGCGATGATGGATGGATGTGTGATTCCCTGATCAAATCAATATTTAAAAATTTTATATTTTGATGTTGTGCTGAAATAATTTATATTAAGCTTCCGCAAAATTATTATCAACTCCGACTATGTTGAATTGCGTCAGGGTGATTGGTGGTGGAGCGATTAAGTCTGAAGTAAGGTGGAAGCTAAGAAGGTGGCGTATTTGAGGTACATGGGCTGCAATGTAGAGGAGGAAAGTGCGGCATTACGAGTGGAGTACAAGAAAGCACGCAAAGAAGCTAAGTTAGAGATAACGAGGGCAAAGAATGCCGCTTTTGAACACCTCTACAAGGATATTGAGGAGAAAGACAGTGTTAATCCACTGTTCCAGCTTGATAAGGTGCGTGAGAGGAAGGCCCGAGATCTGGATCGCAAGAGATGCGTGAAGGGCAGCGATGGTAGAGTGTTAGTTGAGACTGCCAAGGTGGCTAAGCGCTGGGGGGAGTACTTTAGTGAACTCCTAAATGCAGGAGGAGACCAGACGCTAGTTCTGGATGAGTTGGGACAGCCCGGGGCGTCTCGTGTGTATTGCCGGTGCATTTGCCTAGAAGAGGTGGTTCGGGCTCTGCGCGGGATGCGTAGTGGGAGAGCTTTGGGACCAGATGAGATTTCGGTGGAGTTTTGGAAGCATGCGGGTCGTGGTGCGTGGGTTTGGTTAACCAAACTCTTCAATGTTATCCTCCAGAAAGCAAGGATGCCTGATGAGTGGAGGGAGAGTCTCTTGGTCCCTCTGTTTTAAGGCAAAGGTGACATTCAGAGCTGTGAGAATTACAGAGGCATCAAACTGCTTAGCCACACCATGAAGGTTTGGGAGCGAATCATTGATTATAGGGTGCGGAAAGGGGTTTGCATCTCTGAGAACCAGTTTGGTTTCATGCCTGGCAGATCGACTACAGAGGCCATTCATCTCGTGAGGAGGTTAATGGAAGAGTATAGGGCTAGGAAGAAGGACCTTTATATGGTGTTTATTGACCTTGAGAAGGCGTATGATAGGGTGTCAAGGGAGGTCTTATGGAGGTGCCTTGAGGCGAGAGAAGTTCCCATCGTGTACACCCGCGCGATCAAGGATATGTACGATGGGGCTATGACCAAGGTAAGGAATTTCGGGGGCGACTCAGATTTTTTCTCAGTAGGGATGGGGTTGCACCAGGGGTCTGCCCTTAGCCCTTTTTGTTCGCCTTGGTGATGGACGTCCTAACTCAAGGTGTTCAAGAAGGGGTCCCATGGTGCATGCTTTTCGCGGATGATATTGTGCTTATCAACGACACACGTGAGGGACTAAACGATAAGTTGGAATTATGGCGCCTTGCCCTTGAGACTAAAGGATTCAGAATAAGTAGGAACAAGACTGAATACATGGAATGTCGTTTCAGCGGCCGGGATACAAAATCAGAGGTGGAAGTCAGGATTGACTCTCACCTAGTACCTAAGGTTGTAACGCCCCGAAAATAGGCCTATCAGAATTAATTAATTAATAATTAATTAATTACTGAGAAGGACCCAAAAATCTGTGAATTATAAAGTTGGTCAATAAATAATAAAAATTTTATCATTATGTAGAGTTTGACTGTCCGATTCCAACGGTTTAATCGGATTTCAATTCGGAGAAAGTTGGACCAAAAAGTGTTCCCCGACTGGGACCAAATTAGTCCCAATCAGGGACTTACGTATAAAATCTGTCGGAGCCGCAGCCCCCTCCACTGAGACGCCAAAACAGTGTTAGGGAGGTCATCTCCCATGGCTTCTTCCCCTTCCTCCTTCTTATATAAACTCTCCAATTTCTCACCATTCTTCACCGTTCTTCTTCCAAAGGATAGCTGAGAGTGTAGAGAGTGAAGTAGTGCTGTCATATTGGTGTGAGGT